AACCCAGAGAAACTGGGAAAACTGAGCCCAGGGACTCCTGCTGAGGAATGGGAGGAAAGTGTCTGCCTGCAGGTGGAAACAAAGGCAAGCAGGGTGATTTGGGGGCCTCAGCGTCAGCCTGCTGAGAATGGTGCCACACAGAGTTCAGAGACACAAAGAGGTTATAAATGGCCAGAGGACAGACCTATCTGCCATGATAAAAAATGTGGACTATCAGGCAGATCATGGAGACTCAAAGATGAGTTTTATGAATAGGCAAGGGACTTTTTTTTAAAATCATTCTACGCAATAATGTGAAAGACAAATGAGGAGACCAGTTCAGTGCCATGGGTATCAGAGAGAGGCACTGAATCACTGGAGGTGAAAGATGGTAAGGACCTGAGCCAGAGCAGAAGCAGTGAAGGGAATGGACCCCACAGAAAGCTTAGTGGTGGTGGGTTGGGTGAGGCAGCAAGGAGAGGAGTTGGGAGCTATTTCAAGGTGTTCTGCTGGTGCAACCAGACAGATGGTGCAATTCACTGAAATAGAGAAGACATGGCTGTGGCAGGAGGAGGGTGAGCAATTCAGTTTTGGACATGCCACACAGATTTCTCATCTGTGGACATCCAAAATGGGTATAATTGACCCTGGAACAACACAGGTTTGAACTGCAGGAATCCACTTCTACATGGATTTTTTTCCAATAAATATACTGGAAGATCTTTCAGAGATTTGTGACAATTTGAGAAAACATTTTCTTTTCTCTATCTTACTTTATTGCAATAATATATATGTGGGTAAAATTGCAGTATTTCCAGAATCTCTTGCCTGGCCTTAGTGCATCTCCGTATCAACAGGTGATTACAGGGGGCAGCAGGGAGTGAGGGCACATCTGGACCCTAGAGATTGAGTGGGGTCCCTTTTTGCAAACAGGTTACAAGAGACATGGATGAGCAGAAGTGGACAACTGCTTATAGGCAATAAATAGGTTTCTCTCACTTTATTTCTCCCTTTGACTGATTTTGGCTTCAAAGGTAATTTTCCCTGAACTGGGAACATATTTTCCCCCCAGAGTTACAATATATAATGTGTAACACACAAATCATGTGTTAGTCAACTCTAAGGCTTCCAGTCAACAGTAGGTTATTAGTAGTTAAGTGTTTGGGGAGTCAGAAGTCCTAAGCAGATTTTTTTGCCACGCAGGGCATCAGCACCCCTAAGCCCAGCATTGTTCAGAGGTCAACTGCACATGATGGGGCTGGAGCTCAGGGGAGAGAGCTGAGCTGGAGCTCTATTCTGGAGTCACTACCAGAGAGGTGGCGGTTGAAGCCCCAGGAATAAAGGACATCACCCAGAGAAAATTGCAGACTAAATGAAAAAACGGCTGAGAATACAGCCACAAGAAAAAAATCATGCTTTATCCCTCATAAAGTCATCTGAGTTGTGACACAGTTTAGCTGAACAGAGGAATCCAAGAGGCCCAGCTCTGAGGCCGTGCCAGAGGGGATTGCAGTGGGGAGGCCAGCGACGTGGAAGGAAGGAGAGCCGTTCAAGACCCAGTTCAGACGACGAAAGCGCCCATCGGTGTTGAGGAAAGAAGTGGCCACTGGTGGTCTTTGTCAAAAGAATTTCCAAGGAGGGCTGGGGGAATAGGAAGTAACGCCACAGAGGAACTGAATAAAATAAATGGTTTTTTATACTCTCAGAAAGTTCCCTTTCAAAGGAAAAGAGACATGGAGTGACCTAGAGGAGAACAAAGTGTTAGGGAAGTTTTAAAATGAAGGATTGATTAAACAGAAAAGTGACGTGGGGCTTCACACCGACCCGCTGGGCTGTCGGAGGGAGGTTTGTTTTCAGCGCTGACCTCTGCGTGTCAGTTCTGCCTGGGAACTACCACTTTCCAGACGAGACCGCCGTGATGATCAGGCCCACTGTGCCATCTTCTTACCGACTCTTTTTTCTATTTTATATGCAGAGTTACTAGCTAAACTGGAAGACTTTTCAGGTTCAGATGGTTTACTGAATCTGAAATATATCTATAAAAGATACATACCATCTCATTGCCTTAGAAAACAGTAACAGAAAAGACCGGAGGAGTAACCATCACTTTCAAACCTTTGTTATTCCTCAAGTTACAGAGTAATTTGTACCTCTTTCGCTGATTCAAACAACATGAATAAAGTTACATATCATTAAGTATGTTCCAACTCTGACAGGGCTGTAGCATATCAGCATTAATGGTGCACTGTTATGTTCCTATTTTTTTTCCCCAAAAAATTAAGAGTCGATTTCTCATAAATAAATTGAAATATTTTTGAGGAATGAACATGCTTTATAAGAACGTTTTGTATATACTGGCCAAAAAAAACGAGAAGCAGAGTGTCCAGCAGTTCAGAGGTCCCACAAAATATATAAGGAAAGAGAGTGGCAGTAATCTTCCAAGCCCCCCACCCTGTACACACAGACACACACACACATGCACACATATGTACACTCATACACACACACATGCACACACACATTCACTTTTTAAAACATATATTTCTTTGATATTATCTTAGTTTACCTTGAGAACTTCTGTTTTATTAGTCTGAGACTTTTAAGAACAAGTATTTTTTCTATTATAAATGGTCACAGAATCAAATAAACAGGTGATATCTGGAATTATATACTTCAGAGAGCAGCCAAAAATGATTGTTACTATAATAAATTTGCAACATCAAAGAACAAGTTTTAGATCATAACACTAGAGAGGGGAAAAATGGTAACTAAAACAATACATCCAATTCAGAAGTTTAATAATGACACTATATAAATATTTGAATATTGAAAATAAAATACTTATGCCTACAAATTCTGACAAACCTAAAGGTATAAATTAACACCTAAATTTCAAAGTAACTTTATGAGGATAAGTTAAGGAAATTATGGGAGATACTCAGAGACAAATATTCATTTAAAAAACATTACTTACCACCTTATCATCTCCAGGGGCTTCTGTGTTTGATACAATTAAGTTTTGTTGTGCTAAATCCTCAGGAAAAGCCTTTCTTTTTTTGGCACCAACAACTCCACATACTAAGGTCAGCAGCACAGCTAAGTTAAAAAAAAAAGAAAAAGAAAAGTTTAGCATATTCAGAATAAAACAAACGTGCACCTGAGGTGCACGGGTGGAATATAAAGCCACTGAGCATGGTGACCTATGTGTTACCTGGGGCTTTCCACATTTTTAGCAGGCCTTAACTTGAGCTAAGATTTTTAAATTTGAAGTGATTTTGTGTGTATTTTAATTATATCCCTTTTTAAGAGCTTGAATTCTACCCATCATGTTAAAGTATTTAGAATCATGAGTTAAATAGTAATTTTTTTTTAAATAACACATTTTAACTTAAGTATGTAAAGACTTACAGAAGAGCAATGCTATGCCCAGCAGAATGGCCAGGATGGCCCACTTCCCAAGCGTCGCCCCGGCACTCCTCAAGGCTGCCCGGCATTGGCTGGGGTGAACACAGTCACATAAATTGACTCTCAAGGTTTTCATTGCAGACTGACCAGCTCTATCTTTTACAATAATAGGAACATTGTATTCTTGAAATTGAGCATTTTTCTGATATGAGAGACGGGCAGCCGTATCTGAAAGAAAAAAGCAATTACACTTTTAATGAACAATTATTCTTCAGCGTTTATTTCACATTCTCTTATCTATTTACCTTCTGGTACCTTGGGTATAAGGTAATTTTTCAAAGCTCAATAGACTCTTCATATTAATGCCTTTGGGCTGGAAGTGATCTCGATACCAGAAAGCTAATTAATGTCACACAGGCAGGTATAAGGCTTACACAGGAACACGGATCTATACCACTACAATACATCCTTAGCAACGGGATATTCCCCCAATAGTCCTGACACATTATTTAAACAACTCAATTATCACCTGACCAAAAACTCCACACGTTTTCACTGGCAATTTCCACCTGGGGGGCATTGCAGTGAGGTGAAATGACGCAGTAGGAAGTGTGCACCTGAAGTCACCGGATTTCTCAGACCTTCCTCAAATGCACTGTTAGAGCTGTTAAGAACCTACAGAGGGACACCTCATACCGAGTCCCTCAAGGAATGCAATTACTCGTATGGTTTATTTGGAGCCTTTCAGGATCATGCTGTGTCTCAGGCTAGACCCTTCCAAGCCCTCTCCTGGCTCACAAACAGAGGCGCGTCTCAACTTCTCGTACTACTGCAGTAGCCTCTGATTTTCCTGGTCAGTGAGCTCTGCTCCTGTCAAATTGTCCTCCTTAGTGGGGAGGCCAGCGACGTGGAAGGAAGGAGAGCCGTTCAAGACCCAGTTCAGACGACGAAAGCGCCCATCGGTGTTGAGGAAAGAAGTGGCCACTGGTGGTCTTTGTCAAAAGAATTTCCAAGGAGGGCTGGGGGAATAGGAAGTAACGCCACAGAGGAACTGAATAAAATAAACGGTTTTTTATACTCTCAGAAAGTTCCCTTTCAAAGGAAAAGAGACATGGAGTGACCTAGAGGAGAACAAAGTGTTAGGGAAGTTTTAAAATGAAGGATTGATTAAACAGAAAAGTGACGTGGGGCTTCACACCGACCCGCTGGGCTGTCGGAGGGAGGTTTGTTTTCAGCGCTGACCTCTGCGTGTCAGTTCTGCCTGGGAACTACCACTTTCCAGACGAGACCGCCGTGATGATCAGGCCCACTGTGCCATCTTCTTACCGACTCTTTTTTCTATTTTATATGCAGAGTTACTAGCTAAACTGGAAGACTTTTCAGGTTCAGATGGTTTACTGAATCTGAAATATATCTATAAAAGATACATACCATCTCATTGCCTTAGAAAACAGTAACAGAAAAGACCGGAGGAGTAACCATCACTTTCAAACCTTTGTTATTCCTCAAGTTACAGAGTAATTTGTACCTCTTTCGCTGATTCAAACAACATGAATAAAGTTACATATCATTAAGTATGTTCCAACTCTGACAGGGCTGTAGCATATCAGCATTAATGGTGCACTGTTATGTTCCTATTTTTTTTCCCCAAAAAATTAAGAGTCGATTTCTCATAAATAAATTGAAATATTTTTGAGGAATGAACATGCTTTATAAGAACGTTTTGTATATACTGGCCAAAAAAAACGAGAAGCAGAGTGTCCAGCAGTTCAGAGGTCCCACAAAATATATAAGGAAAGAGAGTGGCAGTAATCTTCCAAGCCCCCCACCCTGTACACACAGACACACACACACATGCACACATATGTACACTCATACACACACACATGCACACACACATTCACTTTTTAAAACATATATTTCTTTGATATTATCTTAGTTTACCTTGAGAACTTCTGTTTTATTAGTCTGAGACTTTTAAGAACAAGTATTTTTTCTATTATAAATGGTCACAGAATCAAATAAACAGGTGATATCTGGAATTATATACTTCAGAGAGCAGCCAAAAATGATTGTTACTATAATAAATTTGCAACATCAAAGAACAAGTTTTAGATCATAACACTAGAGAGGGGAAAAATGGTAACTAAAACAATACATCCAATTCAGAAGTTTAATAATGACACTATATAAATATTTGAATATTGAAAATAAAATACTTATGCCTACAAATTCTGACAAACCTAAAGGTATAAATTAACACCTAAATTTCAAAGTAACTTTATGAGGATAAGTTAAGGAAATTATGGGAGATACTCAGAGACAAATATTCATTTAAAAAACATTACTTACCACCTTATCATCTCCAGGGGCTTCTGTGTTTGATACAATTAAGTTTTGTTGTGCTAAATCCTCAGGAAAAGCCTTTCTTTTTTTGGCACCAACAACTCCACATACTAAGGTCAGCAGCACAGCTAAGTTAAAAAAAAAAGAAAAAGAAAAGTTTAGCATATTCAGAATAAAACAAACGTGCACCTGAGGTGCACGGGTGGAATATAAAGCCACTGAGCATGGTGACCTATGTGTTACCTGGGGCTTTCCACATTTTTAGCAGGCCTTAACTTGAGCTAAGATTTTTAAATTTGAAGTGATTTTGTGTGTATTTTAATTATATCCCTTTTTAAGAGCTTGAATTCTACCCATCATGTTAAAGTATTTAGAATCATGAGTTAAATAGTAATTTTTTTTTAAATAACACATTTTAACTTAAGTATGTAAAGACTTACAGAAGAGCAATGCTATGCCCAGCAGAATGGCCAGGATGGCCCACTTCCCAAGCGTCGCCCCGGCACTCCTCAAGGCTGCCCGGCATTGGCTGGGGTGAACACAGTCACATAAATTGACTCTCAAGGTTTTCATTGCAGACTGACCAGCTCTATCTTTTACAATAATAGGAACATTGTATTCTTGAAATTGAGCATTTTTCTGATATGAGAGACGGGCAGCCGTATCTGAAAGAAAAAAGCAATTACACTTTTAATGAACAATTATTCTTCAGCGTTTATTTCACATTCTCTTATCTATTTACCTTCTGGTACCTTGGGTATAAGGTAATTTTTCAAAGCTCAATAGACTCTTCATATTAATGCCTTTGGGCTGGAAGTGATCTCGATACCAGAAAGCTAATTAATGTCACACAGGCAGGTATAAGGCTTACACAGGAACACGGATCTATACCACTACAATACATCCTTAGCAACGGGATATTCCCCCAATAGTCCTGACACATTATTTAAACAACTCAATTATCACCTGACCAAAAACTCCACACGTTTTCACTGGCAATTTCCACCTGGGGGGCATTGCAGTGAGGTGAAATGACGCAGTAGGAAGTGTGCACCTGAAGTCACCGGATTTCTCAGACCTTCCTCAAATGCACTGTTAGAGCTGTTAAGAACCTACAGAGGGACACCTCATACCGAGTCCCTCAAGGAATGCAATTACTCGTATGGTTTATTTGGAGCCTTTCAGGATCATGCTGTGTCTCAGGCTAGACCCTTCCAAGCCCTCTCCTGGCTCACAAACAGAGGCGCGTCTCAACTTCTCGTACTACTGCAGTAGCCTCTGATTTTCCTGGTCAGTGAGCTCTGCTCCTGTCAAATTGTCCTCCTGTCACCAATGCCACATTTTAAGACATAAATCTGGTAGCACTGCCTGACTTGCACACCCAGGGCACATCTGCTGTGGCCTCCAATGCCAAGGTTCGTCCCCTCCGCCTGCTCACAGGGACCTTCACCACCAGACTCCATCCTTCTTCCCTCCCGTCTCTCAGCATCCAACTAAAACTCTCTGAACACTAACAACACTGATTTATTTATTCCCCTAATATGTTCTTCTTTACACATATGTATTAATCAGCTATTGATCAAACAAACATTTATTAGTCAGCAACTAAGCACTGGGCTAGAGGCTGGAAATAACAGATGGATTACAGATGCCCTGAGAAGCTCAGGTATGGAGGAGAAAAGAAAACAAAATACAACGTGAACACAGCTGTAGCAAAGGCACGGACAGGTCACAGGGCCACTCCTACAGCAAGAATAACTTCACACATGTGAGCATCTGATCTGGAGTTATGCCTGCCTGCTCATATCCATACATCTCCCCAGAGTTGGAACAGTGCTGGGTGGATAATAGGGGCTCCATAAGTATTGCGGATATCAGGCTAAGAATTGGGGCATGAGGTATTCTAGGAAAAAGGCATGGCCCACACAGAAGTCCAGCTGCATGAATGAGATGATGGAGGGACAGAACAGCAGTGACCTCTGGCTGACGCACAGGACATCACACCTCCAGCGACCAACAGCACAGCAAGCTGCCCCGAGGGCCGCACAGCCATGCCTCCATCTGCACCCCACTGTGTCTCCTTCCAGAACACCCCCAGGACACATATGCTGTTCGTTATCATCGAATATTGCCTGTCCCAGACACTCCAATCCTCATTCTCACAATTTGTTCACACTAAAATCTAACCTGTTCACCTTCTGCTCTCTCCTAACTTATTGGAGTTACTTTAAAAATACAACAGAAACAAGTTGTCTTAATAATAAGCTACCTAATATTTTAACAAAGCTTTCTTGTTTTTGTTATAAATGTTAATGTTGCCTTCATAAAAAATGATTTCTTTCATTTTACATACTGTATATAACACAGGCCCCCTGGCAAAAGGTTAAGTCTCCTAACATATGTTAATAAGAATATTCAAGTAACAGGTAAACCCACTCTGTTTTTCGAGAGCACATAAATCGTTATTTTTGGTTGAATACCATTAAGCCTGGTGAGCACCCATACTCGGGTGATCTCTGGGGAAGTGCTCGCCAAACTGAAGGAAAATGGAGGGCCGTGGATAGGCTCATCAGGATCAGCAGCAGAAATGTCAGCGTACCCCATCTTCGGTTTGCAAACTGTTAGGTAACTTTGCAGCACTTCTGGTGAATTATCATTTTCATCTTCAACTATAACTGCAAGTGTCCCAGTACATGATCTACCACCTAGGAGGATAGGAAAAAGGCTCAGTGTCATTTTTAATTCTTTTATAGTTTCCTAAGAAAAAACACAACTAGAGTCAACATATAATGTATTTTAAAATAAATGGATTATGAGAGGAAATGACAAACAAAAACACAGATGGATAAATGAAGCATGAAAGTCATCTGCACAAGCACAACTGTTGCTCGCATGTCAGATACAACTGTCAATAACTTCTTTTACAAGAATCATTACCAAAATAATAAAAATTAGTGTCTGTGTTTCAAACTCTATTTCCTTGGGTTGTTCTGGTGCCAATGTTAATAAGCAGTAAAGTGGCTACAGAAAAGTTATTCTAATCTCAGTACATTTAAACTACCTAGGAAAATTTTTTAAGTACAGATGCTTGGGCTTGACTTAAAGTTGCATAAAAAGATGTGGAAGAGTCTAGTGAGACCACGTTATCTAATCCTAGACAGACTTCATCATTGTCCTCTAATGGGGAGCTCTACAAGCTTTAAGGCCCCCATGCTGGCAATATATAAACACAAATAAGACATGGCTTCTGGCTGCCATGAAGTTTCACTCTGTTAGATGACTAAGAGAAATGGGAATGATCTTTTAAGTAATTTCTAAGAATCCCATATACTTACTGCAATAAATTTTACACAAGAATCAATGAAGTTTATTCTCCAATTCTTTTCTAAAATACCATATTAAAACATTTTTACCTTGGTCAGTCACCAGGACTGTAATATTATATAACTCATTTCTGGGAGTCATAGCCTCCCTGTCCAGGATTTTGGATGTTGTGATTGACCCCAGAGTTTCATCGATGGTGACCCACCCTTTAGGATCATTCAATATTTTGAACCTATTAATAAAAAATAAAAATAGCCTTTAGCAATATAAGATATATTAAAAACAAGTTACTGTCTCAAAGACTACAAATGCATTACTAGTATGTGGTTATAGAGCTCTCATTACCTTAAGCCACTGCTACTTCTGGTTTCGGGGTCATATGCCTTATAGCCACTGAATTTTGACCCTACTTTTAGATTTTCTTTAATCCGTACAAACTGGGTGGCAGGGCTGCATTCGGGCCCCTCGTCCTGATCCCGCACATGAACGGTGACCAACACTCTGCTCATGGCTGTCGTTCTGAGGGCGACGTCTCTGGTGAACGGAGCCTCGTTGCTCACTCCGATTTCCAGGATCACTTGACGGTTTTCTTCATAATTCAATGGCTTAAAGAAGAAAAAAGTACATGTATGTCAGCATTGTGTAAAATACTTTTGGCACTTCAAGTAGCAAGTGAACTTCTGTAACTATGAACAGTGCTGCATATTCAGTCAGTATTGATGTTTAACTTTTGCAAAGTAGAGAGGTGATTCTTCACTAAGCCTTAACAAGATTGGTTCAGAAGTTTCTGCAGGTGGTGTTACAGAGTTATGGAAAAGCGATTCTTGAAATATTTTCAGAGTTCATTCTTACTAAGGAAAATTATTACCATGAACCCAAACATAATGCAGCAAGATGACAGTGTCTGTGTGGCCCCGCTTTGGGACCCTGTGTAACCCCCCAGCCTAAGGGTCACCTGGCCAGGAGTAGGCAGTGCTTGTCCTGCTCCTTACTACTGACTCCAGTCTAGACGTTTCACAGCTCTTACAGAATTAGGTGTCAGCTACAACACAGCTGAACAAGACGGAGCCCTGACACCTGCCACAAAAGTCCAACCGCAGAGTCGGCTGGAACCAGAGAACTTCAAGTGTCAGACGGCTGCCTGGTTTCACCCCTGACCACCTTGTAAGCTCACTACGCCCTCATTACATTGCCATATAAATATCCTCCACCACAGAGGGGAGAGGTGCAGGGTCCCAGGCACAGCAGTGCAGTGCCCAGGGGCCTGTGGGACTGGGCATGCCCCAGCCACCCACAGAGCCCACCCTCCACTGGATCCTGCCCCGTCACCAGCCCTGCACTCCTGACCCCTGAGAGTCTCCCTCCCGCTCCCTCTGCTCACTCCGTTGGAGGGCAAGGTGTCTTTAGAGCCCAGGATCTCACCTCTCCTTTCCTTGATTAAAGAATAAACTTCTGCTCTGCTGCCCTGAACTTGGTCTTGTTCCACTAGCATAAGAGACACTGGGCCAGAGGACCCTTGTAGGGGTCTCAACCCCTCACAGAGGGTCAGTAACAAGGGTGGAATGATTTCATTTTCTCTCTGATGGAAATGATATTCCAAATGCACGCTTTAACTGTCATGGAAGGCATATAACAGCCATTTTATGTCGACTTTTCCTGTTACCGCAATCCATCCCAGTTCTCATTTTTTCTTAGGTATCTGCATTGCCTCTTTGCTGATTCCTTCGTTAATGAGTTAAGTGAAACATTTACATGTGCTCACTATCTACTTTTTCAAAAATTATGTTTTTGACAATTTGAGAATTACACTTTGACATTGTCTGTAGTTTATGGAAACTCTCACAGGGAAGTGATGTGCCCAGCGGCACTATGACTACAGGCCTCCCCATTTGGCAGAGCAAGAAGGTGGTGAACAGGAGGCACACTGATTTTCTCAAGGCTAAAAGACAGTCATCTGAGCTGAAGTGTGAAGTCAGTGAGCCTCTCTGAGCCCCTGTCCTTCACCACCACACTGTAATCCCTCTGCTTTACTATGCTGCTTAACTGGTTCACTAGCCTCTAAAACATTTTAAATCAACCCTTTGATGGTAATGGATTTTCAGACAGCAAATCAGGCAAAACCCAGAAAACACTATTTTACATCCTGCTGCAAAGTTGAAGCACTTTTTCTTCAATTCTTTCTGCTTCTCAAAACAATCACTGGTTGAACCTTGAACAAAATCAAGACTGACAAGTAAAATTTTTTTAAAACCTTTTCCCACACCTAGATATTACCAGGCTGAAATACTAATATCATGAGTCCACTAATCAGTCAAGAAAATTTCTGAATCTTAGAATCCACAAAACGTTTTAAAACTCTTAATTTTTTTTATCAACATCCCAGAAACTGGACAGTCAAGAGGAAAGAAGGATTAATCTCTGTTTATCTGCTGCTAGTGAACACTATCTCACAAAGTATACGTGTTGATAAGATCATGCAGTGAGCGCATCTGTTGGCAATGAGGAGTGGATGGAGATTCAGGACACAGCTGCAGGTCTGGGGAGGTGCATTCATTCCCTACTGGCCAGGACCTTAGGATTTCTTTGTACAATTTTTCCAGCTTAAGCTGCATATTGTTTTAGTAGCTTAACACGCCGCCAGAATAGAAATGTGGCAGGCTGACCTCAATGATTAATGAAAATCCATGAATTCTCTTCCACCACAGGGTAACTTTTTGTTTCATCAATTCAAAAAAAAGAGTGTTCGAAAATATCCTCTATCTGCTAGCAACTCCCTAGAAAACGGAGCGTTGCACTCCTTTGGAGGATCCTGCATGTTGAGGACGATCAAGAATACTACCATCCACACTCAAGCCCATATGCACTACAGCTGCTGAAATAGAAAGAAACATCAGATATGGGAAGTTTACCCAAGACTCAGCTAAACGTTGTATTGGCTCATGCTCTTTGGTTCTATTAGGGAAAATCACAGCACTAGCCAAAAGCACAAGCTAAGACTTTAAAAAATACAACCACTAATAATCCTATAGTTTACCAGGAGCCTTCACTGTCATTATTATAACTGAATAGCTACTAGGGAGGCAGAAGGAAGCATTACTCGTATTTCACAGGTAATACAGAGGCTGACATTCCAAGACCGCACAGCTCTGCAAAGCAATTTAACATAGTGCACAGGAGCACACTTGGAAATCCTGTCTCTGCTGCAGCCTAGTTGTGTCACTTTTTCAAAGTTTCTTTATCTCTCTGGGACTAAGTTTTCTCTTCCATACAATTGTTGAAAGGAATGACATTTAGCATTCAAGCACACAATTAGTGCTTGACCCTGTAGGTTTTAGTACTCTCTCTCTCTAGCTGTCACACAGGTAAATGAAGGGAAAAAGTGATGCATTGTTTGTTAACAGCCAATATAATGCAATAAGATAACAAGGCAAATGGATGCTTTGTTCAGCGAAGGTAAGTACTCCTAAGCAAATTTGGGGTTGACCTCCTGATTATTTAATCCTTTAGGGGATAAACAAAGTGCATCCTATCCTAAACACAACCCTATATAACAGGGAAAAACCAAGGCGCTGGAAGAGGAGGGTTCCTGTAAGGCATCATCAACACACTGATGCATCCTTTTAACTTAATAGTAGGGAGGAGGTTAATCGTCATCAGTCACGCAGCCTGCATGACAGAAAGATGGACTTCAAATACCCTGATTACACAGTGTTTGATTTTAAAATAGAATACACCTACTTCATCAAGGTTTCAAAGTCCTTAAAAATAAAACAAGAACGTAAACACAGATCTTTACCAAAAAAAGGGTGAGATACCTTTAGAGACCAGTGTGGTTACCAAAGGAGCTCTGGGACGACTCACGTCTTTCTAAGAATAGAGAAAGGAAGACCAAACATGGCAAATGCAAGTTTTATTGGCCAAAGTGTTAGAGAACATCATGGATGGCTCAAAGAGAAGGTCCAATCAGCAAAGGAGCTGATAATGGAAGAGAGAGAGGGAGGAAATAATGCACAACATAAACTCAGAGAAGTAGAAAGGAAAAGTTCCAGAGAAAGAGAAAACCTCCATGTAACCCAAGTATGGAAAAGACCCAGGGGCACCGAGCTGGCAGGAGAGCACGCTGTTCTGAGGAGCGTGTGCACACCAGGCGTCTCTGGCTGGCTACTGGCTTTATCCCCACGCAGCCAACGTCCTGGGGCAAGCGCTGCGCTTATTTTGACTCAGCCTCCTCGTCTGGAGATGGCGAGAATGGTAGGGACCCACCAGGAGGTTCTTGTTAAGGTTAAAAATAAATCCTTTAACCCAATGTTTCTTGTTTCTGTTTAGAATTCCATAGCATGGGCAAAGAAGCAAAATAAGGTATTTTTGTGAAACAAGCCTAATACTGATATACAAACTTAGCAGAAATTGTGCAAAAGAAGAACACTATAAACAAACCTTTTTCTAGTTATAAAATGGGATAATAATAACACTGGACCCTAACAGGGATGTGACCCTAAATACAGCTTACCTGAGGAGCCTGAATAGCATTCCCTGTGGTGTAAAAATGCTTAGGACATGACAACCACTTTGAAAATTCTAAAAACACTTCTTAGATGTAAGGAGTAGGCAGTAATCATAAAACAGGTGCAACTATTTCATGTTTAAAAATAATGGAAATAAGTATATACAAATTTTACTGGGAAGTTTTTTTTTATGTTCTTTTCATGTGAAATTAACTTAAACTGAACCAGAGACAAAGCAGTAAAGTATAACCGTCTAGCTGCCCTCCTTTCTGGGGAACCCTGGGGGGAGCTCTTTTGTCCTCATTACCTGGACTCGAGACTGTTAACAGTGCAACCCAAAATACAGTACACAGAACAAGAATAAGCTCATTCAGTGCTGTCTGACATAATACTGTATTTCATCCTCAATCATTTTTAAAAGGATCAGACACAAACAGGCTTATATTCAAGAGGGAGTCTGAGAAGAATACAGGCTTCTAAATTATATCATGTAAAGAATAAAGTAATTAGGAATATTTATCTTAGAAAACATCAGTCTCAGTGGACCTAAAAGCCTTTCCATAGCATTAGAGACAGAACCCAGCGCCAACACATGGGGTACGAGAAGAAGAATTTAGGCACATTAGAAGCAAGGACCTCTGAGATTGGAACCCTCCAACTATGGAATAAGCTGCTGATGGAAATACACAGATCCTTGTACTTGATATTGTTCAAGTGTAAGCTGGGTGACTCATACTTGGCAACAAAATCATACAAGAAAGACAGGCATTTGATGGGCACAGCTGTACTAAAGAGGTGAAGTTCCCTTCCAATTTATAGAAGGAATAATCTGAAACTTATTTAGTTTAAACCAATAGTTGATTAAAACTTGATAACTAGTCAAGGAGTCAATTATTCACTATTACTGTACCTTTACAACACACAGAAGGCCTTCATTAGTTCCTTTGTCTGTACTGATTTTGAAATGTCCATTTTCATTGCCCTTTAAAATGGTAAAATTGGCTCTCCAATTCTCAGTGTTAATTAAATCCTTATCTTCTATAGACATTCGTAAGATTTCCACATTGACTACATTTTCTTCTACTGATGCTTCATACTGAAACAAAGAATTCATTAAAAACTTACTTTACAAAGAGAACTTTTTTACAAAAAAAGTAAAGTGTTTGTTCCACTTCAAAAGTCCTTGTTCTTACAGTTTCGACCTACACTATTTCAAAGCCATGAATCACAGACAGTATTGTTTCATTAAGGGTTGTCTTTTAAATAAAAGAAGAACTTCATTACAAACAAAAACTAATGATACAGGTCTTAAACAAGAGGGGGATGACATCGACACTACTATGAATAAATATTTATATGTCAGCTATTTATACTTTAGTTTTATTCATGAAATGAGCATATATACTTCAAAGCATGATAAATATTCTATTGAATCAGATTAACAAATGACAATCAACAAAGATAAACTCTGATACACTTACAGCATTTTTTTTGAAAGTGGGTACATTGTCATTTGAATCTTTTACTGTTACAACACAGGTCGCTGTATTCATCAACCCAAAAAATTGGCCATCCATGTCTTGTACTTTCATTATCAATGAGTACTTGTCTACAACCTGAAAACGAGCAAGTATTTAAATTAGTTTTGAAAAGCTTTGTTTAGACTTATAAATGAAACCTCAATTGTACACTCTTCTATTTGTGTATATCCATGCTTTTATTTTATTTCCCTATTCATATATACTCTCAGAATTTGGTAGACAGGGATAGTGAAGAGACAGACAAAGGTTAAATTACAAAGGCCCTACTAGAAATTTAGACCTAGGCTTTAAGTAGCAGGTATGAGGGAAAAGTTTTATGGGAGCCATAGAGGGATTCAAGAACATCTGATGCCAAAGGTTATGTTGAACCTTAAGTTCAGCAAAAGTTGGAATAAACTGAGCTGGAAGTCAAAGAAACCAGTTGAAGAGCTCGTGAAATAGTCTCAGGTGGTCCAAATCTGAGGTAATAGCAATAAGAATGGAGTGGAAGGGTGACAGCAAGTTGACTGAGGGGGTAGAATGCAGTAGGACTTGATAACAGATTCTATATACAAGCTAAGAGAGAAAGGGGGGATGGAGAATGATGTTCAGGGTCCTACGTGGACAGGTAGGCAGACAAGGGTATCACCAACGAATTCGGGAAATCCAGAGGGAGAAGCCAGTCTCCATGGAAGTGAGCACAGCACGGATGGGCGGAAAGAACGAGGTGTGTATGGCATGTCCTCAATTTAACGCACCCACGGGAAACCTCCAGGGAAAGGTTCGGAAGGCACCCAGGCAAGAGCCCTCTCTATACTCAAGAAAAAGTTAGTAGGCAGAAATACCGATCTAGGAGCTATTCTTTGGCACCAAATTTCAATGATTTCTTCCTTCTAAAATTGCTCCCAGTCACACTGACCCTTCTATTTTTGTTCCTGTGGTTGCAGTGAGCCACTGAAGTGTTCTAAAGAAGCTGTTTTGTACACACGAAATTGACTAATCTCCCTCAGTCCATACTTCACGGCTCTGATTTGAATATAGGCTGGCCAAATGGACACAGCTACAGCAACAAAAATTAGAAGATCCAGGGCAGCAATGTGACTTAGGCAAGTCAATGAGCCTTTCTGACTGTCACGTTTGTCTTCCATAAATTGGATATAACACCTATCTAGTCAAACAATGAAATTATAAAGATCGAATAAATTATGCATAAAGAATCTGAAACATAATGTGCTCTATACCTGGCAATATGCCAGTACTATCATCCAAATAGTGTTACATATTTTTAATAATCCATCGACTTTATCTCCACTAACTCTTTCCTGACAAAAAGCATACACCTGTGATAACTGCCTAGGGATCACGATATGATCTATACTCATGGAACGAGCATAACTGTCCTACATGAGAACTGAAGACTTCGCAAAGCTGGAGGCAACTAGCCACATACAGAAATAGAATAATATTCCATGATAACGACTTCTGTAAGACTTATTTTTTGTTCCCACTTCTAAATTCCGACTGGTGTGTATTTCTAGATTAACGGTTTCTCTTACAGAAGGAAATAGAAGGAATATTGAAAAGATAGGTAACATGGCCAGAAATTTTTATTGTCTTACATCTAAGTGTAAATATAAACTTCTAATCCACAGAATAGCAAATTACAGTGAATGGGGTGTGGGGCTCAACTCCTGGCAAATGCTCTTCTGTGGAGGGTGACAGGTACCTCTCTGTCCAGGGAGTGAGAGACTATGGTGATGGCGCCTGTGCTGGGATGCACAGAGAAGAGCCCAGGTGCCCTCGGGGTCTGCTCCAGAATGCTGTACTTCAAGCGTGTATGCATAGTGTCCGGTTCATCTTTGTCCGTGGCACAAACCACTCCCACTGTGGTACCTACATGTTTAAAAAGAAGTCTTTAATTTCCAGAATTGAAAAATATACTTAGGAGTACCTACACTTTTCAGTTTAGCAGTGATGGTGGAAACCTAATTTTAAATATATTTCTTGCCATTACTGACGGAAATGACCTCACATTTATCAGTCAAAACTCAATGATGCTGAGAATCAAGGTGTATTTTTACTTTGCTCACTGTTACAAGGGTTTGATGGTAAATTACTAAAAATTTAGTTAAATGGTCATCAAGTAATTTCAGTAAATGACAATCCAGAATAATTTCAATATATAGTCCCACATATTACAATAACAAACCTAGCTGTAGAGGTTAAACCATGTCTCTTAAGTAAATCCAATGTTTTACACTGAATTTTTGAGTAACAATTGCATCAAGACTGATTTGGGGTATAACTGTGTAGGTGGTCATACTGACCCCCCACAGTTCAGTCCCTTTTCTGTGATGTTTTTCTCTGGTCTCTAATTGGCCTCATTCTCATCCACCAGCCTAGTATCCACATCCCACTGCCCAATTTAATCTTCAGGAAAGGATTTCATACTATTTACCATTCAGGGAAAATTTAAGTCAACTGATTCTTTGATAGGGCTATGAGTATTTGTCATTTGGGGGAATGTAAGAATATTGCTCTGGTAAAGGAGTTCAGGTATCAAAGAGCACATACAAGTGGTATTTTTATGGTGTGAAGATAGTGTTCCGAAGCCCGTGAAATATCATACATAGATGCACTTTGCCTATAGTCCTGTTTGTAAGACTGGCTTGAGGAACGCTACACAGACACATACAATCACACACACACACACGTACACATGCACACGCACACACACAAACACATATTATGCATTGAAATATTGTATTTGAAGCAAATAAAAACCAAGTAAAACTCTTAATGCAAGGAAATAAAAGTTTTAAATCATTTTGTCACTATAATATATGCTTAAAGTTGATATTTATATGTTTATGCATGCAAATAAGTAAATATAGGCATATATATCACATGATAGCAAATGTCCAGTTACACATTTATAACAAATGACAAGTTTTCTGCAGTGGATTGATGTGAAGACATGAAGGATTATCTAACTATTATCAGAAAATAAATGTTATTCATCTCTTTATAAGAAAAGTTCATAATCTCCGTAAGGCAGTCTTTTCTTCCTGCAGTTATTGACAGGGAGACACAAACTCTATTTTGATTCTTTGGTTTTACTTATCACAGAAAATTTTCCTAAAATCTTGGCTTGAAGACTCCTTCCCCTGAGCTCTGTCCTTCAGGATCTGCTGAGCACCGTAGGTCCAAACCTTTGTGTTGAGTTAAGGCAACTCGAGGCAAACACCAGTTAGTTCAGAGCATCAGAGCCTTAACTGGTCTGAACTTGAGAGATGCTTAAAGTACCCTGAGTTAATCTGGGCATCAAAGAGTTTGCCCTGGAGTCTTCTGTTCCTACCAAAGAGAGAAGCACACTCAAGAGTTCAAAACAATCATCCCTCTTTGAAAAAAAGAAAAATGCACCAAAGTCATACTCATTGTAAAGTTAAAAACACTGTAGGTCATCTAATGTGATTACCTCATTTTACAGGTCAGGGAACTCAAAGGGACTTCCATGGTTTCCCACAGTGAATTAACAACAGACCCTGAATTAAAAACTAGGTTTCTGAAACCAACAATTTTTATTTTTTTAATTGTACCTTATGTACAACAAAGAGCATCTATGACATCAAATTACCAAAGTAAAGTAGAAAGAGGACTAGCAGATGTAATAATGCAGTGAAGACATAGTAACTCCTAGAAACATTAATAGGCAAGTTAGGAAAGTGATTCTTCCTGAAAGAGTTCACACTCATTCAGATTTATTGAGAGTGGTTATTCCCCAAATTGCACATCTCAGAAAACATCACAAATGCCACATGTAAGGGCCAACTAAACAGAAACACTTGTGTTTCCATATGTTCAAGTGTTCAGGATGGAGAACATGTTTCTCTAAAGTTATTCCAGATCGGGAGTCATAAGTCTTAAGAAGAGAGACAACATAACGAAGAGCTTAAAAAAACTGTATTGTCAATGGATGTCATTCAAGAGCCCCCTAAATACAGATGTCTATACTGATTTTAGTTTTACTATACATTCTACACTGCATGTCCTCTCTTGGAAGTGAGAACAAAGATAAATCCACAGAATAGCAAAATGAAATAAAGCATATAAACCAAATACCATACAAAGCTGGAGTAACTGTTGTCTGCCTTTGTAAGTAATTGGTGTATATTGACAACCCCACAAACTTGCATAATACCCTATATATCACACACTGTTTGAATCTGACAGCATTGAATGTATTCTGGTAAACAGATCCTCACCCAATGTCATCTCAGGACGGTCTGGCCTTGAGTATAAAAACCTCAACATCTCAAAAAATGTGTACAAACATATTTAGCATAATACATTTTACTTTTATAAGTTGTCTTACCATAAAGTCTGAAAGGGAAAAGCCCTTCATGGACAGGTTCACCTAAATGAGAGACCCTCATTTCTGTGCCTCAAAAGGAGCTTTAATACAATTGTAAAGCAATAACTAACATGCTGAGAAAATATTTGCAGTGTGACAAAAGGTTAACATCCTTAATACTACAGAATGCTTTTAGGTAGATTAAAGACATAGTCAATAAAAAGGTAAACACCAAAGAAAATAAGAGCAATGGATATGAACATACATTTCACAAAAGAAAAAAACACAAATGGCAAAGGAAAACAGCAAGAAAACATCAGTGAAAAAGATTCATCTTACCAAGTCTACTACTTTCTAGAACTTCAAAATAGTAAATTGATTCTGTGAAAATGGGGTGGTTGTCATTTTCATCCTCTACTCTGATGGGCAGCGGGAGAGGCAAGTCTGCGGAATAGCCATCTGCAGTGGACGCGTAGGCAATCAGCTGGAAAACAGGACAAAGCAAGCTCAATAGTCCATTAACAGAGATTCTGGCAAGAAAGAATGCTATGCTATCTGCTACCTCCTCTGAAAATCTCTGCAATAGTAAAACACAATTTTCCATTCAATGCTTTTTGAATCATCAAAGCATCAAATGGAACACTTTAAGTGCAACAGGTGTAGAAATGACTATACTTCAAATAAAACTTCAGAGTACAGTGAGGTCACACACAACTGAGGGCCATCAAACTCAGGAATTAGTGTGAATATAGAGACTCTGATTGCAGTCCTTACTCCCTCCATAATCAGAAAGTTATATTGGGGAAAATAGATACCACACTAGAGAAATCCCTACTTCATCATCTGTTAAACTAAAGCAATGACCTCCACCTGCTAACTCCCAAGGCCCTTTCTTGTTTTACCTCACAGATCACATATTTGTAAGAGTTTTTCTAACAGACATCATTTACCAGGTTCTGCATTTCTAATTCATCAAAGGCCATGTGGTGTCAAACGGAACATCTATTCAGTGTGTGGTTACAACACTGAGTTGAAAATATTCTAACAGAAAACAAAGACATGCAGTGGGCATCAATCACATTTCCTTCTTCTAGGAAGATAATCCCTCTTTCCTATGGAGGAAACATTCACACAGCATTTACGATACTACACTGGAAATTGTCTGCATCCGTCCCCATTGACTATAAGCTCATCCATATCAGAATGCCGGCTTACCAGCCCTTCTGTCGGTTTGATCTCCCACTTTTGCTTCCTTATCTAGTTCTCAGACATGGCCAGAGAATTATATATATGAAAGGAAGGAAGATAAAAAAAAAAAAAGAGCAGAAAGGGGAGAGGACCCTTCTACTCAACTGTGGCCAAGTCTTGGGGAAAGGAAGCATACCACGACCGGGGAGAGAGGGCATCTCACAAGCAAACCAACCCCTGGCGAACACCAGAATTCCAGCACCACTAAACCTGGTGGCTCCGTGTCAGGCTCACCTAGCAGAGGTTGAGACAGAGACCAAGTATTCTGAATATCTACTTCCTCTGACTTTGAGATGCCCTCAGAAAAGAGAGGGTGGGAAAAAGGAAAGAAAGAGCAGCTGGAGAGCCAAGAGAAACGTAAGTGAATCACTTAAAGTCATTGATAGCAATGAAGCTCCTACATCAAAAACATCATATTCTTCACGATCCACGGGCCGGGTGCAAAATAGATTTCCAGTGTCTCTTTCTATGAAAAACAAATTTAAAGGTTCTTGGTCAACTCCACGCCCACTTATTGAGTAGAAGATGGTATAGTTCTGTGCTGCATCAGACTGAACCTAAAAAGAAAAACACAGAAGTTAAAAAAAATGCTGTTTTTTAAAAATGTAGCTTATGTGTTTACAGTTTTTATTGACAACAAAATGATAATCACATTTGTCACATCATCAATACACAGAACAGTAAAACCATAGAGCAAAAGATTCTTTTAAGTCAAGTTTAATGAAAACAATATTCAATGTAACGAGTACCCAGAGAAACCTCATTAAAAACAGCAAGGCATCATTTCCCACCTACCGATTTGGCAAAGAGCAAAGAACCATAAAGCCCACTGCAGACATGGTAGAGGCAGACAGGGACCTCACATGAGCTGTGAAGAGAGACAGGGAGGTCCTCCCAGAGGGTCCCGGCAGGGCCCAGCCTGGGTGTTCAAGGAGAGCCCACCAACCAGCTCTCAGCCAAGGGCGTTTCACGGATGCAAAGTTTTTCTCTTATTATTATTATTAGTTCTTTAATGATTTCTAGTTTTCCTCATTATTAGGTTATTTGTGATCTCACTGTGCTCACTCTTACACTTCATGAATATCTTCAATCAAATCTGTTTACTTTAAATGCTTAAAGAGTTATTGAACCTGAACACAACCGACTCTCAGTACTGAAACAAGTCGTCGTCGGAGGGCCCTCCAGCCTACCTGCTGAAGGAACAGAGGGAAGGGTCCCAGGGAGTTCTCCTGCATGGAGCAGGGAATCGGCGCCCATCTCCTCTTGGAACGCCTGAGGACCAGTTCTTTCACGTGCCTTTTCCTCAGCACCTGAATTTAGAGAAAGAGAATTGAAGAAAAACAGCATCACTGCCTCTTTGTTGTGAAAGAGTTGGGGAGCCTATAAACCTAAGGCCTCCCGGAGGCTCCGTCCTGGGAGTTTCCATGAAGTGAAAGGCTTTTTGCCTTAATTATAAGGGAAAGAATGTATCCAGACTTTAAAGATTCCCCTAAATGAGAGAATTTCATTTTGTGCACCTTCCTAACTCTGACCAAACTTTCAGATCTGGAAAACTGTCACTGTGTTCCTCGTGTTTCTTGTTCTTTCTTACATAGAGATAGAGAGCACATTCTCAATGCAACCATCTATAGACAGCACTTACCTCATTTTTCTGCTGAAACCTCACTCTCAGAACCACAGCAAGAAATTGCATGTTCTTCACTGTCCTAACACTCTTTACTCTGTCCAATATGTGTGACTATTTAAGTTTAAATTAATTTAGAATTAAGTAAAATATAAAATGCCATCCTTCCATTGCACTAGCCACATGTGAGTGCTCAGTAGCCATTCCTGTTGGGCAACCGTAATGGACAGTGCAGATTATAGAATATTTCCATTGTTGCAATAGTGGTCCATTTCATTTCATGGTGTACCAAGGCAGACATTTTATTTCCCTGAGAATTAATTAATAGTTTTATTAAGCATTTATTAAAATGCTAAACAGTCTTTTAAATTAACATCATCATTAACACATTAATGCCACTTAGCTGTAATCTGCTCTAAATCTTTAACCACCCTTGTGACTACTTTCATGGTGACCATCTCCATGTCACGGACTCGAGAACCACAGTGGGCAGTCACCTAGAGGATGGCCAGTACCGTGCCCGACATATTCTTCTCCACATTACGCATCCTCCAGGATTTCCATTCACTGAGGCTATAAATACAACAGGGCACAACTCGTGCCCTTAAGGAAGTTAGATAGACTGTCTGCACTAGTAAAAACTTGCAAACACTGTCATGATGGCTGACCACACTAATCACACAATAGCAATTAGTTAGATTCAGACTGGAAGAAGCCTTCACAGAGCAGATGTCATTTAGATTTAACAAAGGAAAATCCAAGGCCAATGGGAGGAGAATAGAGGAAAGGAGGAAGACAGGGAGGGACAGAAAGCACACAGAGGGAAGGGAAAAGAGGAGGGAAAAAAGCCTATTTATCCCTTTGTCATCTGCAATTTTTAAGGAAAGTACTTATATGAAACGAAGAACATGCCTGAAAACATCAGTGGACTTTTAATACCTTCTTCGGACATTCCAGGAGCACAGGTATCTCACTCTGTGTCTGCTTCCTCAGGTCAGACAGCCGGATGGTGAACCACCTCTTCTCACCAGAGAACATGACAGCCCTAGTGGTGTACACCGACCCGTCACCTAGAACTCTGAAATCCGGATCACTCGACTGGACAAGGTCTGCAGACCCCAGGCATTCTTTCAAATTAACTGCAAGTAAGAGTTTCCAAGTTGTAAAGTAGAAATGGATGCAAAAAGTAAAAAGTCTTAAAAGAATTACTCTGCATTTACCAAAATATCTTAACCAGGCTCCTTACATGTATTAAAAAATGAAAATTTTCTTTCAGTTAAAAAATAAAAATTGTTGATTATATACTTGTATGAAATAAGGTGTCTTCTACACTTCCAAAAGGCTTATAAAAATGATTTTCCTATTAAAGAGGAATGTGCGTAGCAATCACAACAAAACTGAGCTACACCCCCCCACATGTACCGGAATAAAGGAGAGAAAAATTTTCCTTAAAAGTATATCTGAGTCTTTAGGTACACCTGTTTTCAGCCAGAAGTTATACACATGTGCCCAAAGGTAATGGAGTGTATGAGTTTGCCAATAGTCAAGTGAGAAAAATCTATCATTGACTCCTTCCCGTTGGCACTTTTCTGTCACACACACCCCACCCCCAGACCCACCCCTGTCCCCCCAATAGGCCCACAGTTCTCTCTGTGTTCCTCTTTCTAGCCTTCCAGGACTCTCCACTGAAACTTTACATGGGATCTGCTCCCCTCTAGAATTTTTCCTAGTAAAAAGCAAGAAAGAATAAGTAATAATATAAGTGTTATGAAACATGTATCAAATCCATCCCATTCTTCGACGATGTGTTTTAACAGGACCGGAGCCGATACATTAGCATTCACTTGAGTAACCACCTCCCAGAACACTCATAGGCAACCCATGCACAGAGCTTTCACTTTCATCCAAACCATCACCCTGAAAAGCTTTAAGCAGAAGGAAGAGAGCATCTTCAGGATTAACGACATATTTCTCTCATCTTCACATTTTCAGGGTAATGAAAACCTCCCGTCTATTGTGCTAGACCTCTCTTTAAATCCTCCTCTCCTTTCTTCCTTCCCATAGGAATAAAAGTGATAGTTGTTTAATAAAATTAAAGGAGGCAGTTTATCCAGAAATGGGGCACTATGTTGAAAAAGTAAATTTGGTATCTCTGGGAAAAACTATTATCTCTTTTTTTAAAAAACCCACGACGCTTTCCTCCAATATTCCCTGTACCATATTTAAAGTCCTTCCCTTCCCAACTTCCCAACTGTTGGGAAAGCACCTTCTCAGGGCACAAATGGGTGATTAAGTTTGGTTTGGAAAGGAATGGTTCCCCTTGCCACATTCTCCAGGGCAGCTATAGCTTCAATAAAAGTACTGCTGAGAGTCTCAGCAACTTACCTGTATCTCTCTGAAGTCCTAGAATCATGAAAGGGTGTATCCTGCATATAATCTTTTATGTAGTTTTTAAATTGTTAAAACATGAATGACTACAGAAACTCGAATCAGAACATTTGCACTGGAATCAACCACAGAATTCAATGTTACAAAGAATGGAAGATATATTTAAAATTATCTTGAATTGTATCTAATTATAAATCGAGCCAGGCAAATTCCAAAAGGCAAAGATTGGGTAACATGCTCTTTCCAGCAGAGGTAAACTAAATTTCTGTTTTAAAAACAGTTTTGAAATGTCTCACCTCTGCCAACCATTTTGTCTGCCTCTAGTTTGGAAGGTATATTAAATATCACCTTTTTGCAGGCTTCACAACCATAACTGAAGACCTAGAATTTAAAAAAAAAAAAAAGAGTCACATCAATACAGTATAGAGAACAAAAGTTTCAGATGTGCAAGATAAATAAGTTCTAGAGACCTATTGTCTAGCCTAAAACCTATAGTTAACAATACTGTATTATATACTTAAAATTGTGGCTAGGAGGGTAGATCATAGGTTAAGTATTCTTATTACAAGGAAATAATAATAAGAAATAAAAAGGGTGAGAAGAAAACTTTGGAGGTGATGGATATTTTTATGGCATAGACTGTGGTGATGATTTCACAGATCTATACTTACCTCCAAACTCCTCAAGTTGTATACATTAAATATGTACAGCTCTTTGTGTGTCAATCCTACGTCAATAAAATGGTTTAAAAAATAGTAAAGAACAAGACCACAAGATCATCTCAATAGTTGCAAGTAACTGACAAAATCCAACACCCATTTACAATTAAAAACCTTCAACAAAGAAGGAATAGAAGGGAATAATGATAAATGAGTTCAGCATAGTTGCAGGATACAAGATCAACATTCCATTTGATTGCAAGCCAATTGATTGTATTACTACACACTAGCAATAAAAAGTCTGAAAACAAAATTAAGCAAACAATTCCATTCACAGTAGTGACCTATCTGCATGCATCAGAAGACATAGTCCCAAAATTCATCCGATAGATTCAATATATTCACTAGGAAAACTACAAAGATACAATACCCTAGACAGAGTGGCACTGGGGTAAGCATAAACATATTGATGAGTGGAAGAGAACTGAAATCCCACAAATAAGCCATTACGTTTGTAGTCATCAGATTTTGACAAAGGTTCCCAGAAAGTTCAAGGCAATGAAATAGTCTTTTCAATAAAGGGTCCTAATACAATTAGATAGTCTCATGCAAGAAAATGAATTTGGACCCTTACCTCACACCATATATAAAAATTAATTTGAAATGCGTCACAGATCTAAGTGATCTAAGTATAAGAATTAAACTATTTAGAGGAAAACTGAAGAGTAAAGCTTCATTATCTTAGGTTAGGCAATGATTTCTTTTAACACCAAAAGCCCTCATTGACAAATAGCACTTAATCAAATTTTAAGTTTTGATCTTCAAAAAATATAAAGTAAGCAATATACAACCCACATAATGGCATAAAATATTTTCAAAGCACACAATAATGAAAGACTTTTCTCCAAAATACGTAAAGAACCATCACAACTCAACAATAAAGAGACAAGTAATACAAAAGAAAATGGACAAAATGTTTGAGGAGACATTATCCAAAGAAATAAACAAATATCCAGATGAAAAGATGCTGAACAGCATTAGGCATTAGGGAAATGTAAATCTAAACCACGATGAGATCCCCGTCAGGGTAGCTAAATAAACAAGACAGAGAATAACAAGTGTGGACAAGGATTGAGCAAAGCTGGAACCTTCAGGCATTGCTGGTGGAAATGGAAAAAGGTACAGCAAGTTTGGAACACTGGCAGTTTCTCAAAAAATTAAACATAAATTTAACATATAATCCAGCAGTTCCATGCTTACCTACAAGAAATGAAAGCCTGTGTTCACACAAAACCTTGTGCCTGAATAGTCATAGCAGCATTAGTCACAGTAACCAAAAAGTGGGGACAATCCACATGTCCATCAACCCATGAAAGGACCAACAAAATGTGATATATCCACAAAATGGACTATTTTACAGTTATGAAAAGAAATAAGGTACTGATACATGCCACACATGGATAAACATTAAAAATATTATGCTTAGTAAAAGAAACAACACAAAAGAGTACATGGCATATGATTTTTTATGAAAAATGTCCCAAAAAGACAAATACATACAAAGTAAGTTAGTTGCCCAGAGCTGGAGATGGACATGTGGAGTGGTTGTAAATGAGCATGATTCTTTTTAAGGTGAAGGAAATGTTCTAAAATTAGATTGTGGTGATGATTGTACATTCTCTAAGTTTGCTAGTATCTGTTAAATTGTATACCTAATATGCATGAGTTTTATGGTACATAATTTATATCTTAATACAATTTTTTTCATGGTTACAGTGTCACTGACATAAAACTATTCTTTCCACACCCACCTCCACAAATTGGCAGTGAAAGGCTCCTTCAAATTCAGCAAAACAAAATCAAACAATAACCACAGAGAAATATTTCACTTCTGATAACAGACTTCTTCACAAAATTAAAAGATTTTAAGTCATGGAACATAACGTGTGTATATATATATATATATATATATATATATATATACACACACAATAAAAATTCTTGCACATATATGTGCTCTAAATGTTACTGCACTTATGTAAGACCTATCTTACCTTGCTTGAATTAAAGTAAAAGAAAACAACTCCAAAGTATAGACAAATAGGGTCAACATGTAATAGTGTTAATTTAAATAATAAGTTGAAAAGTCACTTTCAGAAAGTCTGAATCAGATTGCTAACTGTACCAATAAAGTGGTAAGCTAGTTGCCCTTTAAAAAAATACAACCATATTTCATATGCTCAACTGCATATTGTCCCTAGGAATATAGTTGTTATCTTGGGGTGAAAAATCATTTTATTTAATAATGTACCCATTGGTCCAAATGTGTCTTAACTCTACAGTTGAATATCTTGGAGTAGCAAAAGAAAGCCATAAACTATATATTATAATTACAACTCTTTTAAACATATTTTAAGTTAAATATTTAAATCAAATAGAACACAATATAATAAATGCTCATGTGTATATCCAGATTTTTAATTAATATTCTAATTAATTTCTATTCAAATATCTCAATTTTTGCTTCATTTTTTAATTAAAATTTACAGATGTGGCCAGTCTTACACATGCAAGATATACAGGATATATGTATATTATTTTATAAAACATATGTATATAATATATATATATACACACATTTATTAAGATACATAGAAGCATGTCTAATTTCATTGGAGCATCTTCAGTAGAAATACAAGAGCATCTCCAGTTTCATTAACTATTGCCAACTTGCTCTCCAAATTACTAATATCAACTTACATTAATGCCCTAGAATATTAGATCTCCCTATTTTTTCATATCTTCTATTCCAATTAATTTTCCTTACTCTTCAAATTTTTGCCAGTCTCATGGCTGTTGCTTTAATTTGCATTTTCTTAATTTCTAATGTGACTGCTCATTCCTACATTTATGCCACTGTCTTTTGCAAACTGTTTATTCCTCTCCTTTAGTTCTTTCTGTATTATCTTTTTATTTTTTACTTGTAGGCTTATGTGGGTTGCCTTTTCAATCTTTCAGTGGTAACTTTTGATACACAGTGCTTCAATTTTAAGGTAGTCCAATTTATTAATCATTTCCTTTAGTTTTTTTGAAGTAGTTAACTACTTCATCATTTCTTCTGGCTTATACTCTTGTGTATTAATAACTCTCCCTCTATTCTGTCATAAATACACAGTCTGGTATTTTCTTCTAAAAACTGTAAAGTTACTTCCAACTTTTAAATCTTTCACCCATCTGGAATGCATTTTGTGTTTGGTTCACTGTAGCTCACCTTACCTTTTGCCACATGGATAGCCAACTGATCCAAAACCATCACTAATAACTCCTCCTTTCTTAACTAATAATGATTATGCTTCATACCTGATATGCACAGTCCCATGAACACAGAATCTGCTTCTGGCTCACTGCACTATTTCAGCAGCATGTGTATTTATATTCACATCAATGCTCTATAGTTTTACTCAAATAGCTTTAGTATAAATCTTGGTAGTTTGTTATGGTGACTCCAATCCCTATCATCTTCCTTTAAAGTATGTTAGTTTTTCTCAGCCTTCTTCTTATGACCAGCTGATCAATTCCATGAAAAAAATTCTTTTCAGGTTTTTTCATCCAGGAAAGTGCCAATAGTTTTATACTTTTATTAGTTCTAATTGGTTAAGATAGATCCCACACTATCTTAGTCCATGTAGCTAATCCTACAGCTGGCAAAATGTCGATTAGATTTCTTTCCTTTAAATCTTTAACCTCTTTCATTATTGCTATTATATACTTTATCTCATGTATATGTTTGTTAAGACCTCCAGTAGAAAGTTGAATAGAAATAGCTACAGTGACCATCAAGGATTTGTTTCTAACTTTAAACAAAATGTTTTTACCATTTCACCATTAATTAAGATTAATTAATTTAAATGATTTAAATAATTTCTCTTTCATTGTTGTTACATGCTTCATTATGAGTTCATTCTCTTATATTCCAGTTTGCTAAGAATTTTTATAGAAATAAATGTAATTTCCTACTTATTTTGAAAAGAGCATACAGTTGCTTTCTGAATATATTACTATGTTAAAATACAGTAATAGCTTTTCTAATGTGAAACCATCTTTCCATTCCTGGGGTGGACATGATAACCTTTTAAATATATTATTGGTTTGGATTGCTGCTATTTTACTACTTCAAATATACGTAAGTGACATCAGTTAATGAGTTAAAGGGAGTTCTAATTCTTCTGTTCTTTAAAGCAATTTATATAAGGTAGAAATTGTTCCACACAATTATGGAAGGATTCACCTTTCACAGGTCTGGGCTTGATGGATATGAAGGTGTGTGTATATGGAGTCATTTGGCTTCCAATTCAGTGTCTTCAGTGGTTATAAATCTATTTATATTGATTGTTTTCTCAAGTCAAGGGTGGTGATTTGTATTTTGCAAGAAATTGCCTGTTTTGTGTGTGTTTTCAATTGGAATGCCATTGGTATTATCATTTTTAAAACATTTGTTTCTCCATAACTGTGCCTCCTTTTTTATTCCTAATATGTGTATCTGGCCTTCTCTACTTGTTACCTGTTCAGTCTTAGCCAGGTCTATGCTTCCCAAGAACAACGTTTGGTTTCATTAATCCAGTCTTTCGCTTGTTTCTTTCCCTTTTCTTTTTTTTAATGTTCTTTGTAAGATACATTATAAATACAAAAGACTATATATAGTATATATGTGTGTTTTAAGAAATAACAAAATGAACACTAGGGAACTCGCCTTCAGAGTTAAGAAATAAAACATTACTATAATTTTCAAAGTCCCTATAAACCTCTCCCCAATTGCATTTCTTCCTTCCCTCAACACCTAAAACTCAGGTGATGACTAATGAATGATTTTTGTGTTGATAATTTAGTCCTCTGCCTTTGCTTAATTTTATCCCACATTTTCCTAAAGAAAATACAGGTTTATTTTGTCAGTTTTTTGGCTTTTACCTATATGCAGTCATATGCAAATTGTACGCAATTAGATTTCTTTGCTCAAATTAGGTTTGTGAAACTTATTCATGCTGAGTATGTAGCTGTAGTTCACTCATTTTCATTGCTATGTAGCATATCATTCGAAAGAATGTACGATTAATTCAATAATATAATTTTTGAAAGGGATGATATTCATATATAGATTTCAGTTAAGTCATCCTTCTTGAAACTATACTTTGATACTATATTTGTGGGGATGGGATATATTAATAAAATAAATAAAAATGTACAGTCACCATTAGATTAGCAATGATAAACTAATGACCTTTAAAGGTGTTTTAAAAATAACTTTTATATAGGATGCCCAATAAAGTTGCATCCTACAAAAATTTATTTAAAGATTAATGAGTCACGGGTTGACTATTTGAGTTATAAAAGAATCTCTTTTAATGGAGAACCCTCCAGAGCAACTATAAATATTTGATTTATTAAACATAGAGTTGCAATCAACTCTAAGGTAAAATGTAACAAATTAAGTTTTTAAAAATTATAATATACTGCCCACTGTAGTCCTGGAAAAATTAACTGCTTTGTTTCTTTTTACAGGAGTATCCATATTCTGTTAATTGTATGATAGAAAGCTTATCATACAAATCATTAAAATCTGAGAAAGAAATCTAATACCAAAAGTAGAGTGAAAATGAAAGGCTTATCTGAGATTGCTTTACTTTTTTGTCAGTTTGTCAGTCTTACTGTAAATACATGACATAGCTTTCTAAAATGACACCATTTTCCAATAGAGGAGAAACTAAAGAACAGACATATATGGAAAACCTAAAAAATAAAGGGGATCTTCTTAACTAAGCATAATAGTCACAGATCTTTTCATTTGTCATTTCTTTTACAGACACCTGCTTCTGAAAAAGGAAATATTACCTTTCAAATTCTAAATTTTAAGATTTACCTCTTTGTATTCTCAGTACTTAGATCATTCTAGTACATTTCCTTCTCACCAAACCCTTTGTAAGATAGGTATTCTAGTTAAACAGAAAGTATGATCAACCGTTGGTCACTACACAGACCATACATGGAATGCCAACTGCCAAGGGGATCGCAGCAGGACCAGAAGTTGTGCATGGCTTACGTGTATTTAGTGATTCAGAAGGCATTTCAGGATCTAGCTGTATCTCAGCATGAACATCAACAATCTCTTCTTTAAAAGGTAGCTGACAATGCGCTGAGCTAAGTATATACTAAAACTTTGACTTCCTTAAGGTCATGGTTTTAAAATAAACTACTTCTCATTTACTTCCTTTATTATATGCCTTAACCTTTTTTTCACTAATGCAAAAGATTAATAGACATTATTGTATTCTCATTTTAAAAGACGAATATATCAAATGTTATCAATAAAAAAGAAGTCTGGTTGAGGAATCACATTATCTCATTAATTAGTGCTATAAAATCTGAAAAGATAGAACAGTCATTTGCCAACCTAAGTTACAGGTGAGATTCACATACTCCAGGGGAAAAGGTATGTTATACTATAAAAGAAAAATATCATTTTAACTCGTTTTGAAGAGTCCTTTCAGCAAAATGATAGATCAACTGTCCAAGTCATACCATTTATAGTATGTAATAGATAACAATGTGTTTATCAAAGTAGTTTTGATGTGGTGGACAATGTTAAACACATATTTAAAAGGATCTCATTATTTAGACCGGGTGCAGAAGACATCTGAACTGAGCTAATGCAATTTAGTTTCACCGCCATCCCTGACAATTTTGCTACTTTAAGAGAACCATTTTAAGAGACACTCGCTAATTTCAACAATAGTGGGATGATCTGATGTGTTTCTTTTCTAGTTTCCTCCACTCCTTTCTTTTATACTTCCTTATTTTCTTTTTTCTTTTCTCTGTGTGTGTCTGGGGAGGATCATTAAGACCTGTGCTTGTAATTGCTGCTTGAGTATAGTGAGGACAGAGGGGTGGGAAAGGAATGCAGATGGGGCAGAAAAGTGCAAACGGCAAGTTCCTCAAGCTGTGGGACATCCCAGCTGGAAGGCTAACATGTTAAAAGTCTCCGTTTTGTGTTAAAGACTTGCTTTGAAGAGCCCTACTTCAAACAAGCAATCTTTTTTTTTCGAGAGATCCAGTAAAGTAATTATAAAGTGAAAACTGTGTCTGAAAGGTTATGCCATTAATATTAAACTGAATAGTTGAGAGTCCTATGAGTCAAATGAAAATATGTACTGTACGGAGCACGGTGGTCAACAGGGGTCTTAATTTACCCATCTGATCAGAAATTGAAGATGTGTTAGTAAGGGATTGCTGCTGAAAGAAACCATTCTGTGCACACTCCCCAGTATTCAAGTCTCCAGATATACCACTTAATTTAAGCTTTTAAAAAATAATCCTAAATGAGTAAATCATATGCTATAGCTGTCGGTATCTATTTAGCTTACACGCACCTTCCTGCCTCGCCACAGCCCAGCCCGCCCTCGGGACGGCTCGCGGGGTTCCACGCCTCCCCTGCAGGGAGAACAGAGGGCAGTGGGGGCATACGGCCACTCTTCTCCCCATTCTCACGTCCATTCACGGAGAAAACAGAACACGAAAGTCATGAATCTAAACATAAAGGCTGGAAACTCTTCCAAATACATCACAGAAGAAAACACTGAAGCAGTTCCCGTTTGGAGTTATTTCAAAAGCTGTCTGTTCGTTGGAATAGATGCCTCGCAAGCCTGTGCGCTCGGTGATACGGTTCCTCGTCCACAAGTACATTTCGGATCGTAACCACCAGGCTATATTTCACAACTCGCTGATTGCAAGAGAGGGCAAAGCTGGCCACCCATCGCTCTACGTTTGGTGGCGCCGGAGCCGCCGTAGAGGACCACGCGCGGGCCCCGGGCCCCAGGGCCGCCGGCCGGGGCAGCCCTGGTCGCGTCCGCAGCTCCCGCGCGTAATCGCGCCGGCGGAGTTCCCAGTATTTCGCTTCGGTCTCCCGAGTCCTCGGGGAATTGTCCCCAACTGCACCTCCAGGCGGCTGTGGCCCTGGGTGGCAGGATTCCTGGACCCGAGGACCCCGGACCGGGCTCAGGTCTGCGCCCCCGCAGACGGTGAAAAAGTACGACCACCCACGACCCTCGCACAGCCCCTCTCCCCGGACTCGGCCTCCTCCGCCCCCCCACGCCCCCACCAGGCCCCCAGCGCGGCCCGGCCCCAACGCGGCCTCCCCATGCCCCGAGCCCCGGGGCCCCTCCCGCCCGGCCGCACGGGAGCCCTGGCCTGGGGACGCCCCCGGCTCGCCCGGCACATCGGCCTTCCGCTGGCTCGGGGCTCCCGGGCGACCTCACCCAACGCCCTCCTCGTCCGCCCAAACGCGCGCCGATCGCCGGCGGAGACTCCGGCCCGCCCAGCGACCGCACGGGCCGCGCAGGGCCCCGGGCCGCGGCGGCACCCTCCCGCCACTCACCGCGAGGGCCAGGAGCAGCCGGCAGAGCGCGGCGCGCGGGGCGCACGGGCGCCGGTCGGCGGCCATCGGGGCCGCTTCTCGCCGCGGCGGGTCGCGGGCGCTGTGGCTTCTCGCAGGCGGCCTGCCCGGGAGCGTGCTCGCTCCTGAGTCGGGCCTGGACGCAGGACACGCCGAGCTGCCCCTCCTAGTTATTCCTCAAGTTTTATCCCCGCCGGAGCGGCTGGGGAGCTGCCCGAGCCTGCCCCTCGCTCCGCGGCCCCGCCGGGTGCTCGCCCTCGGAACGGCGGGGCGGGCGCACCCCGCTGCTTCCCCACGCCCCCGGCCGCCCCGCCCTCCCGGCGCCCGCACCCGCGCCCCGGGGCTCCCTGCACACCCGCCCACCAGGCCCGCGCTGCAGGCGACCCCGCAGGGCTGCCCCCA